TCATCCACTAAAGCTTGGGAATGGGTTTCGTGAAGTTGAAGTACCGATAACCCAGTTAACAAATTATAAGTGCTCAGTATTTTTGTGCTATACTTTGCTGATCATACGAATTTTGTACTTATCATATATAGCAAAATTTGCGCTTTTAAGATTAGTTACCTTTCCAGAATAGAAAACGGACTTCAACTGTTGTATGTGTTGTAATTGTTTCCTACTCTAATTTTGCGTGTTTTGTGCTATTTCTTTCGTGATGTGCAGCAGTCTTTGTTTACAATGAGGGGCTGCAAAGTTCCCTGCGTTAAATAAGATTCGAACTTCTAAAAACTGTACTGCAATAATAGTTATTTATATATATATAATATATAATATAGCTTTATTGGGTGATGCAGCAGTTGACAAATACGATTAGGTAGTACATATTTTTACAGTTTAAAGATACAGATGCACGTATATGCAATAGACTGCAACCCCAAAGGCGAAGTTCGGTTGAAGAGCAATACTGAGGGACTGCTCTTCTCCGCTCTACCACTTAACCTCAAAATTGCTGCGAAAGAACCCATAACTGACAGAATGTAAATATAATCCGACCAGTGTTACCCTATAGACAGTGATGCCTACTGTGATTGCCATATTTGCTTTGTGCACGTTAATCGTCTAACATTAAAGATGTCATACGATATTTAAATAATTTTAAGGGCAAGCGTTTCAATTCGGGTGAAAGGTCATTGTACATTACAACTGCGTTGTAAGAAAATGATTTCAGATAAGCTGATTTAGAAATAAACTTGAAGGAGGGCATCGATAATAATCCCTTTCCCCGTATATTCACGTTGTGTACGTCGGTACGGTATCGCATCTTGTTATTAAGATATTTCGGAAACCCAGTAGTAATTAAAGAGTGATACACACATAAAGAATGAAGCTTATTCCGCCTTTGTGACATATTAAGCCACGCTAATTCTCTCAATTTGTGAGAGATATGACTGCGACGCCTAAGACCAAAAATGAAGCGAACACAATCATTTTGAACAACCTGTATACGTTTGTCAGAGGCAGCATCAAGACATGGCCCATAGACCATGCCACAATGATTAAATTGCGACAACACTAACGAGTCGCACAACATTTTTTTTGTCTTAACGGACAGGAATGCTCGGTGCGGATACAGGCATTTCAATTTCCATAAGCCTTGCGTATACAGTTCCTTACATGTTCTCTAAAGCGAAGATCACTATCTACGCACAATCCTAAATTTTTAGCGACATTTTTTACAGTAATTGGTACATCATCAATACGTAATTTTACATTCTCAGCAGAAAGTAATGCTCCTGCACCAAATACCAACGCGACGGTTTATATACAAGACGATAAAGGGATATTTTAACTATTGACTTTCACGAGATGGTTAGTTTCCCAATAGCGTCGTGTATAATACAAAACTTTATTTTATAGCAGAACCCATATAAATCCTTGTAAAGCTTCTGACAATTCTGAATTTAATTTAGACGTCAAAAATATCAAGCTTAGGTTCTACCATCGCGGTAGTTTCCATAGAAACAGCATTGTCACATGCTCTGAAGGTCATTTTATGTCGTACTCCGCGTCCTAAATATGAAATAAGAATGACAGATGCATAACGATCTGTTTCACTTTATCTACCCTTACGGTTAAAGATTGACCCATTCAAACCTATTAAAATGTCAATTTAACATCTGCTATAAAATAAAATCAATTATCGTATGCCGTCGGATTCTTTAGTAAATTTGTTACCTTTTTTGTGGTTTTGCTTACTGTAGAGTTTTTCCTTTCACAAACTGAAAATTAGCTACATGTTTTTCTTGTTTCCACCTTCCAGCAAACGAACACTAAACGTCCGTATAAATGTATATTGAGAATAAATCAAAATCAATATTCAATATTTCACGAATAAATTTTTCTTTTACAGTAAATTCATTAACCAATACTCAATAAGTTTAATTTGAAATGGTCATCTCACTTTTTTTTCTGAATAACCTAATTTAACAAATTTGGATAATACCAATTTTTATTCATTGTTAATACAATACAGGTTTATTTGAGAATAATTTATCAATAAGCATATCCACACAGAATGTGATTTCAAAACATCTCTTACAATGAGACTAATTTGATTGTTGAAATTATCGACAGTTTTAATTAGATTTCAACACTTTAAATTATGTATATAATTATATGTGTGCCCAGAATTATTTAATTTATTTGTATACACGAATATGACGGAAAGTTTTTCCTCTTCAGAGCGTAATGAGGAGTTGGCTCGCCCCACAATTGGCTCCAGTAGTTAAATGAAGCTCTTATTATGGATCCTCAGATCCTTTATAGTTTTGTATTGTCGTCCGCCCGGCCGTCCGTCCGTCCGTGTGCGTTCTAACTCTTTTTAAAAGTGGCCGGTTGTGTTGAAATTTGGTGTACGGATACTTTCGAGATTAAGGACGAACGCTATTGATTTTCAGGAAGCTGGTTCAACAGGAACAAAAGTTATAGGGCTTCGAGTGAATCGGGAACAGGAAAAACTGCGAACTCAATAAAATAGAAATCAACATATTTCATTCCCTAGGTCAGGTATCGAGTTTGGACTTTCGCTAGATTATTCCCTATGACTCGTAGATGTGTAACAATTCAATATAACTCCTCTCTGTGGTATAGGTCAAAAGTTTTAGAGCAAAATGTACTCAAAATTATTCTTTACACATGAATTTGGAGTTGTAAAAGCATGCAAACGCATTATCTTGATGCTGAAAGAGTAGATCACGTGCACATTTGATAACCGCATATGTTTGATTCAAAAATGTTAAATTATTTTTCTGAAGCCACATGGATTTTGAACAAAATATGTCAAAATCGTTATTTATGCACCAAGATCGCTGGGAAAAAGACCAAGAGCATTATTTCAATGACCAAAACATGAATTTGATCTATTTTTGGCGACCACATGGATTTTGATCAAAACATGTCGAAATCGTTATTTATGCACCAAGATCGTTGGGAAAAAGACTAGAGCATTATCTCAATGCACAAGATGCATTTTTGTTAACTATAAAATGTATTTTGTAAATTAAAATAAATTGGCGTTAAAAGTGATTGTAATACTGAAGATTCTTCGATATTTCGTTGTATCGGTTTATTATTTTCGTTAGTTACACTCAACTAAGTTTTAATTTTCTCGTAATCCTTTGCGTAGATTACAACAAGCACTTCTTCGTTTAATAAATTGGCGGAGAAATTTGTTATACACAACTTTAATCTCTCTATACTACCCTTATTTTTCCAAAAAAAATGTAACGCTAACGGCCAAAGTAACTCAATCTTAGCACTGAACAATTTTCTTCCCACTACTTTTATTCTAATGATTAACCTCACCTATCTAATAATTTTTTCCCGAAAGATTCCCTCTCCTAATTATCGAGTTAATTTTTTACGCCAAAAAAATTGCGCAATATTTTAACATCGCGATACCTAATTTTTATTGGTTAACTTCTTTTTTTCCACCAATACCGGATTTTGGAGCTGTGGCGTAATCTCAAAATTGACAAGATTGCATTTCTCATGAAGTAAGGATGATCTAATGCTGACTGGCAATTGTAACTAAATAAGACTAATTAACTAGAGGATTACTGCTAATTTCAGCGACAATTTGGCGCCAACGATCGTTAAGAGGCCCATTGATAATGAACGTGAAGAAATTAGTAAAATACATTGACTAGAGTTGAAAAATGAAAACTTAAAACTTAAAAACTAGCATGAGCAAAGCAGAACGTTCTAGAACTTTGACTGTTGTTAAGTGTGATATTTTGGAGTCCAGGGTAGGTTATCTATTTACTGTTCATGCAACCATATTTTGCTTGCTGATTCTGGTTGGAAATAAACATATTAACCCTTTAGGGGTCCGAGTTGTCGCCGGATTTCTTACCATCTACGGCCCACCTTCCGTCATACTCAACAGCAGTATGAAATCAAATCCACATTCTTTTGGTATTTTTCGTTTACTTAGGTATAGTAGGTTTCGGTCAACGTGGAACCAGACCCGTCTCCACTGATTTAGAGAAAGGGCTGCACTGTTGACACGTTCTAGGAGAAGGCGAAGAGGAAAACGTGATGTAGTGTGATAGAACTAGGTATCCTCGCATTTGTGTATAATTATTATTCTGCTTCGGCTATTAGCCAATTTGGCGTTGCAAAGGTATCTTGATTCTTCAATCAAAGTTCTTTATTTGAAGTTTAGACTTTTGACAGTGAAGTACAAAAAATAGCACAGGAATAAATTGCTTGATACACTTTAAATTAAAACCCTTGAAATTATTATACTATTACTGTATTCAAAACAGATGATTAAGATTTTACAAGCGGAAAGATTAGCCTTCTGGAAGCAGTAAGAGTTTCATTGTCCTGTTTTCCCTCTCCATTTTCTGGGTTCGGTTTACCTTGTTTAGTGCAGTAAAAGTATTGTAGCGTACATTAAATTACGTGGTTTATTTATATAAAATTGATCTATTAAATTTGATTTATTACAATTCCATATTTATCCCTTACTTGCAGACGGATACACTTAGTCGTTAGTTTAGAACAAATTTATAACACAAGTGCGTATTTCGATATTTATCACTTCATTATCGATGTTAAAACTGAGACTAAACACAATTCAATTTGCTTCTATAACAATCTAGAAGTATAATAAACTATGGCTATAAGTGGCCCAGTAGATTTTCAATGAGCAGCTCCATTATATCCACGAAATACCTTTTTGAAGCAAACGCAATCACTAAAAGAAACACTTGTTTTTAATTAATACATAATATTTAACACCATCAATCTGAAATCTCTCCTTGTTTGCATTTTCTTGCGCCGGTTAAGTGGTCCTGTCGGCGCAGGGTTTTTGTCTTGTTTGTTTTGTGTAGGGATAAAATTTTATTTAGATAATATTTTAATTAATGAGTTAGCCATTCAGGGCTTGACATTACATAATGTATGGTAATGAATTTGAATTCCCGCAAACATAATAATCCCTTCGGTAACGTGCTGTCGGACGAGAGACAAGTCGCACATTAATCTTCACATATACACAGGCAGATAGAAAAGCATATTCTTTAAAACAAACACAAAGAGGGCTGAAAATTTAACACATGTGAAATACTCCCAAGGCTATTAGTGCTCGTAAAGGCGTTCGCGAATCTCCTTTATCTTATGTTCTTAAATGCCACATTCGCTTTTACCTACCCCCATATACTTTTATTTCTCAATCCGTTTCTCTTTGCAGATACTACGCCGCTTTATCACGCAGTAACTTTTAAAAGTAAACACGCAGTAAACACTCTGTTGAAAGCTGGCGCTTGGTTGACAATCGGTTCCTGTTACCAAACGGAGTTGCACGAGGCTGCCGCTAATGGCTCATTAGACATACTGGAAACGTTTTTCAACGACCCGAGAATAACGGTCGAGGATATCAATAAAACCGACGCCTACAGGCGAACGCCCCTACACAGAGCCGCCTTGGGAGGCCATAAGGATTGCATAAAGGCGCTTCTCAACCGCGGAGGTAGCCTAATAGGATCTACCAGACTCAGTAAGGAAACCGTCATGGATGTTATTTTTGCACATATTCCACGACCCGCTGATTTCATTAAGGAAATCTTTGACTCTAAAATAACGAAGACTCCCATACCTCGTCAAGAGGGCAACAGCATCAAAGTAACTCTAGGTAAGTGCATCATTAAAAATCTTTAAAAGGGCGAGATTTAACGTAGACGCGCACCTAAAAAGTAAAATATGTTGACTAAAGGTGCGCTTCGTTATCCGTGACATATTTGTTTCCATTATTAGTACTAAAGTCAGTTTCGCGTTGCAACTGGCAAGTAACCATCCGCTGTAATACAGAACACTAAACAACCACCTACATATTGAACCATTACGCAAAAGTATCACATCTCGTGTGCGTCTGATGCATTATAATCAATTTAGGAGTTTCGGAAGTAACCCGAAGCGATCTGTTTTTTGTTGCGTTTACTATCCCTAGTAGGTAATTGAAACCATGAAAACTAGACAGGGTTCAGAGTTGTACTTAAACATATGGCCTATGGGTAACAATAACTAACTAAGTACAGTATGTTTGAATAGAATTGATTTATCGAGGCAGTAATAGTAGTGTCTAGATTGAAGTCTTTGGCATGAAAAATACCTAGCGATTTACCATTGTTATCTACTAATTAAGTGCAAAGAGAAGTAACTTTTGTTTTGTTTTGTAAGGGCCAGGAAATTTAGGAGCTAATTTTGCATTAAAATGTTTTGTATCATCTGGAAAAACAAAATTTCCTTTCTAAACTAAGTCACTAATTTTATAACGTACCACTCGTGGTCGTAAATTTTAGCGATCTCCTCTTACTTCTTTTACTTGGTTGTTTCATTTTATTTAGAACTAGACGAAACCCGAAAACCAACGATCTTACAATCCGATCAGATCCAATCTATCCGAGGACGCACAGACACCAAGAAAATTTTGTCAAAATCCGTCTAGTCGTCTAGAAAAAGTTCAGTCACAAACACACGTAAAGCGGGTTTTTTTATACAGTGCGTTTATCTTAAACTATAAATACGATTTTGCAAAAACGCGTCAATCTAATAGGAGTAGTTCAAGTGGGTTGTAGGTGCAATGTACAACTGTCACCTGTCACGGCAAAACAAGTCCGCGATTTACTTACAGTCCAGTATCCTGATGAACCAATACCTTCCATTTCAACGTACATAACCTAAAAATAATTAAAGGCTGGTTTAGTGGAGACTCGCACATTATCCAATACGTGTGTATAGTTGTGAACCGCACATATCCTATAGGTTGACGCGTTTTTTTTTAAATGGAACATAGAGAAACATCATTGCATACAAAATCGTATGTTCCAATATAAGATAAACGCACTGTATATATAAAAACTTGACGAAACCCGATTACCAACGATCCTACACACCGATAGGGCCGAATTGTGAATCTAAACCATCCGGAGACACACAGAGACACAAAAAATGTCATCAAAATCTGTCCAGCTGTAATCGACTTCAGGCGCCAACGTAATTTGCTAATAAGCTCAACGAATATCCAAACTAGCTCAAAGTTTTGCATCGCGTAAGCGATCTCAAATTGAACTAATGTAAGGCAACGGGTATGCGTCTTTTTTGTTATTGCATTAACTTTGCGATAGTTAACACAAAACCTAGAAGTGTTATATTTCTTTTCCATTCGACCAAGGGCTATTAGACGGTTCCACAACCCCTAATTTAAGCATTGAATCTAATACATAGTTAACTATACTTGACGAAGTACAGGAAAAAGAGGTTAATATCACTGCGCACTTGACGTTCGAATGTTACCCAATAGAGACGAATTTAAAACAAGATTCGAAAGCAAAGACTGAATTTCAGTTTAAGAGCAAGAAACGTTTGAAGTAGTAGTACATAACTCAGTATAGTTACCAAACTTGCCATTGTCCTGTTCTAAAATCAGCAACAAGGGCAACCAATTTCTAAAAACCGATTCCTAATATCAATACGGGCATGACTAATGCATCAATTGTAATATTGTTAGATTGAATAAGGTAACTTAACAGCTCCCCAAACATTACAAAATCCTCCATTAGCTGACTGACAAGAAGTAGTTTCAGTAGTATTTAAATACATAGGGTGTTCCTTAAAGACATGCTAATATTTAAGGGAGCGATTTATGGACCCATTTTAAGAAAAAAACTTCCTATGAACGTATGTCCTAAACGTTTTAGCTGTTGAGATACAGGGTGGTAAAGCTTTAAAAATAAATCAGTATTTTAATCACAGAGATAATATTGTAGACACCTTTATGAAATTTGGTACATGTCTTCTCTGCATCAAGATGCAAAAATCTCAAAAATTAAAACGTTTAGGGCATACGTTCATTGGAAGCCTTTTTTTAAATGGGTCCAAGAATTACCTCCTTAAATATTAGCATGTCTTTAAGGAACACTCTGTATACGCAAGGTACGTAACATTTCCCACCTTTCATTTCCCAACACGGTTCGAGAAGGTCCCGAATCTAGTAAACCATTAAAAGAATAACCATAAATCACGACTTTGAGATAAGGTTTTTGATCTTCCTTAACACTCCAACACAATTGGTTGTTTATCAGGCAAGCCGTTAAAACGAGTTTCAGAGATGAAAGAAATTAATGAGTCAAAATGATCCTTAGTTTCCCTGGTCCTGATTGCATTTTGGGCACTTGGTCTTAATCACTGCAGGCCAATCACACCGACAGCAATGTGTCTTTTGTGGCATTGGACAATTAGGCAAGAGATATCCTGGTAACAGTTCCCGAATTTGACATGCTTTAGCGAAAATGTGTGTGCTCAACAAAAATGCACCAAATTCTTTTTGGACATCCAAAGAATGTTTGGGCGTAATTGCATCTTTACCCCTTACTCCGCCTCCCGAGGGGTTGCTATTACGTTACACCAGTTTCATTTTTTTTCTAAATTTTATGTAAATAACAGCTATTGTTCGCATTTACGGAAGCATTAATTCGTCTCATTGAACTAATGCATTTTAGTTACACTCTAAATACAGAATATCGGAAATTTAAGAATATCCAACACGAAATCAATACCTTTTGTCCTTCCGATTCGGATTTTCTTTTCAATCCATACATAATTAAAATACCTTTCTATTTTATCGTCTTTGTTAAAGCTGGCGCATTTCGCCGTGAAAGCGCTAGAGAGATAAGAATAGCTCAATATGTTTAGATTAAGTACCATTAAACTTTCATGGAAGTCGAATTTTGGAGACCATTCCTACTCGTACAAGGCGCCTAATTATTTATTCAATAAATCAGCTTATTGTGTGTATTCGGAGACCATGTGATGCTTGCAACAACTTATGTCACTTTTGCACGAATTAAATTAGGAACTAAATTTCAACAACGTGACGTTTTTATTAGATTTCAGTGTCTTGGCACCACACGGCAACGAGAGACAGATGGACGTTTTGTGGAGTATGTTTTCAGCCGCTACTGAAAAAGAGAAGGTTACGCTACTGCAACACCCTCTAATCGGTACGTTTTATACGACTTTTTCTCACGGAGCTAAGCGTGTACTTTCAGAATCGTTTCTTCATCTGAAATGGGCGAAAATTCGACCATTTTTCTACCTGCTGATCGCAACTTACACGCTTTTCGTATTGTGTTTATCAGCTTATGTCGTATTGGGAATACACAACGTCGGAAAATTTCCGATACTCACTTCCGTTTTTCGCATGTTAGTGTTCCTAACTGGCGGCGGTCTCTTCATTCACGCGTTAATACAGGTAAGAAATACTTTTCGATAAATTCTAATTCTCTAGTGACACCATGGATTATTTACGTATATGGCATAAAAATGACAGTAACTGTGGTAGAAATACGAAAACTACTTTGTCTCGTGTGCACGTCAGGGAAAATAATCTTTCCAATTTTCCATAAAACATTTACGATTATTATGTAGTAATCGTAGGAAATCTCCTTCATAGGTAGAGCTATGGATGCAATTCAAATTTTACTCTCAATATTGACATATCTTTATGAAAAATAACAAACCCGAATACGTATAGATAGAAAGGTTATAATGCAAAACAAGGCTGCAAGAAAAACAAGATACAAGGATAGATATCGGATTTCTCGTTATTTTTAATGGTTGATACAGTACCAAATCTGAGTAGAAATAACAATGTTCGCTTGAGATAGATTGGATATTTTAATAGCCGAATGCGAAAATCATATCTTGGGTACTAGGCTTTCTTAACGGTTAGGAAAAATGCGTCGTCGAAAGTTGTTTTAACTTGGATTAGTGCGACGAAAGGTATGGACTTAAATGAACTAAGGTATAAATGTTTTGGTTTCCCTTAGGGGTTTGTTGTTTATTTAATAAAGTTATGACCATGAGCTGAAATATATTCCCGATGAGCTTAAGACCACAAACAAGGTTATATTATTTAGCAGAAGGGGGACGCCGTGGTCATTTCATTCTATCCCAAGTGCTTGGCAATGGTCCCGAAATTTTGACAGCAGCCTCTTCTAATACAAACAAACAGAATGCAAATGTGGGAAATGTTTACCATTTTGCCTTAAAAATGCGAATCTTTTTTACCAAATTTTGTTAAGGAAGACGGCGGTCTCTGTCACTAAGTGTAAGAAAGGTTACATTTCCATATTCCAACTCTAGGGGTAGTTTCTATCAAAAAATCTGTATCAGCTAAAGGGGTTGACTAGCCATTAATATTTATTTATTTGATTTCATTTTTTTTTTATTTATTTTGCCTTTATTTTTGAGTGGGCGGGGTTTCAGTCAAGGCTGCTCTACCAACCCAACCCACTATACATTTACAAATATCCATGCCCGAACCCGGATTCGAACCAGGGACCCTAGCACCACAGTCCAGCTTTAACTGAACTGCGCCACACGGGCCGACTTTCAGTTATAAATATCCATGCCCGAACTCGGAGGGACCCTCACTAGCACTCAATCTTGTCCCTTTCTTTCTGACAGAACCCAAGGCACTTAAGTCAGTTCTGTGGCTAGCTTAATCTTGTTACTACTTAGTTCACAGTGACTATATGTTTGATTTGACCATCGCTTTTTCATTGGCGAATTTAGGGCGAGCCATTCTTACAACACGATCAGCTCCGGCATGAAGTAGACGTGCTTGTAACTATTACTAACACCGCATCTCTTGTGAGAATAAGACGGCTGGATCAATCATTCCCAACTTGGGATGAATTATGATACTCTAAAAGCACCTCACTGGACCAGCGAGCCTTCAACAATGATTCACCAATAACTGAATGGGTTAATCTGTTGTTTGGAAGTTCCAACTGCCCGGCTTTCAGTATACGCTCTGCATGCCGAGTGTTAAAAATTTAAAAAGAGGATAATTTGGGTCACTCGAAAGTGGAGCTAATGGATGAGAAGACTATTTAAAATAATAATACCAGTATATAAACACCATTTAAACGTAATATTGTCGCTCCTTTGAGTTTCTCTTTTACTATTAAAAATGATCACAGTTTAAATCCTTTTTACCCGTAATGTCACGGTAATGGACTGAATATATAACTATAAGAAATATGAGATTACCTTATTTAATTAGTTTACTGATACTTTTGGAACTCTGAATTGAAAAACCGGCTACTCTTTTTAAGAAAACGAATTGCTGATTTTTCTCAGCAACTGTTAAACAAGGACTGCGCGCCATTGAAGCTTTTTCTCTTTTTACAAACATGGCTTCACAATGGTTGCTAATTGTTTCAGCGGCCGTCTTTATTCGTTTAACCAATAAACTTCCGCTTCCTTTACCAATCCCATCATCACTGTTAAAAAAACAATTACTTAGTCAGAAACCTCGGCTCGGCATTTTTTCCAATCTCTGCCAGAACCCTCACCACTCGCCTCACCATAAGTGGTTCTCAAGCTGCGACACGAAAAGGGCACTACTCACTGAAGACGGACACGCATAACCCATTAAATCTTCCCTTTCTTCCGCCAGGCTGGCTCGACCAACTTTCCTATGCAATTACTCGGCCAGAGCCGTGTCGGACAACCATTGAATTAAATAGAGCAACATCATTATTTAGAAACCATTGGCCTGAAAAACAATAGTGCGGCGAAATTGTGGAGAAAGCTGACCTACAATGAAATCACCCTGTATACCCTAAAATGGCGCACCCTAAAGAAATTCAGTTCTAGCCTAAACTTCAGAAAACCAAAATCTAGTTAAATCGCGCCTACACCCCATGTGTTCTGAGTCCTCTATACAAACAATTTAAATAATGGAAACTAATAGTACATTATATATCAAGGTAGAGAAGTCCACTATTATTGCCTGAGCACCAAGATTACATCTCGAGGCGCTTGCGCCGAGGGGTGTAAGGTGCGAAGGCAATAATAGACTTCTCTACCGTGGTATATATACTATTTTTTTCACTACTAGCACTTGAAATCCTCTAAATTAACATATTATATTGATAAGAGAGTTAACGGTTGGACAGAATTGTTTGTTTCTTAATTTAACATGTCAATCAAGTACGTGGAAGTACAAGTCAAACAGGCCGTATTTTGTTCTGTCATTGAGATTTTTCAAAGAGTAATTTCGTTCGAATTTTTTCAAAATGTGATAATTTTAGGTATGTAATTTCTCTGGAAATTGCGAATGGTGGCAATTATTCGTTTTAGAGAACTTGTCTAAACGTTCATTGAGCGAAATTTCGGGTTGTGTTTTCTAAAAGTGACAGCGTGACAGTTCTCATTATTGACTACTAGTTAATAATAAAAAATTATTAACCACTTTGAACAAATGCCGAGAAAGCCTACTTTACAAGTGGAAAAAAGGTTAATAATCATGTCATCAGACGCTAGTAGTGAAAAAAATACGTTACGATATACGTCGGGTAGTACTTGTAACAGTACTCGTTTAAGACATTCTTGACTCGGCTCCTGGCGTCGCCTCGTCCATAATGTCTAACTCGTACTGTTACAAGTAACCTACCGGACTTATAACGTAAATAACTAATACCCCATCCCATTACAATGTTAACATAATTGCATGATCTTATTGATCATTGCTAAAGACCGCGACTCGAACTTTACGAAACCGCGTGACAAAATTCGCAGCTGAAGGTAACTTGTCGGCGCCCGAAGTCGACCACCCCTCGAAAGCGTGCGCTTTGAAAAAGGTGATTTATTTTGTCTCTCGGGAAAATACCAAATTCCGTCGCAAGTGTACTTGTGCGCGTTTACAAGATCTTTTCAACGACATCAGTCTGAAAACAATCGGACTAAAACTGTAGAAGAAGAGAGAAAAAAATCACCACGTGAGTATAACACGCTCGGGGATGGCGCCCTGATGTCTCCTACCCGACATCAAGTAGCCCCATCCCCAAAGTTGTTAATTATGCGGCCGCGGTAGGTACACAATACAGTCCTCGTCTTTTTACAAGCGTTTTTCTACGGGCGCGCATTTGCTTTTGGCTGGCCAAAGTGAGATTTAAGCTAGCTTTTTACAAATAAATTTGCAAAATGCGGAAAAAATTGGAAAAGGTTGTTATTTTTCATATTCATATTCACGTGAGACCTAATGTTTATGATAATACTATAAAGATATAAAGTGTCTGTTCAAACACAGAAATAATAGGTTCGTTTGTATTTTTTTCCCGTAGAATCGAATGCTGAAATCAGTGTTTGACAAATTTCCAAAATTTTAACAAATTATCAACATTTTTCACATTTACATGTTTATAATTTGGATCCCAGCGTCACCCCAGATCAAATAATAAAGTACTTGATAGATAATAAATTTGATGAGGTAAAATGTGAAAAATTAAATTCAAAACGTCCTGATGATTATAGTTCCTTTAGAGTGTCAGTATTAAGCCATCCATTTGAGGCTCTAAAAATCCCAGAATTGTGGCCAAGGGGTACACGTATGAATAATTTTTTATTTCGTCTTATCAACAAGCATGCTCTTACTTAAATACTACGTACATGAACTCACTTAATAATCTTGCTACTCTCTTAATATTAATGAACATTCAAAGTTTAAATAATAAAGTTAGTGATATCGAAATAATAACCAACCAATATAAGCCTTTATTAGTGTGTCTCACAGAAACATGGTTAGCAGAAAGTGAACTGAAAATGTGTAAACTCTTAAATTATAATATAATTAGTGCTTTTAGTAGACAAAATTCGCGGGGTGGTGGTTGCGCCATTTGGACACGTTCTGATGTTCAAGCATCGTTTATTGACGTTTCAACATACTGTTCTGAAAATGTATTAGAAATATGTGCGTGTAAAGGCTATTTTGGACACTTAAAATTTACTGTTCTAAATATTTCTAGACCTCCTTCGGGTGATTACAACACGTTTTTACGCAATTTAAATGCCGCAATAGATCAACTATATGATCCTTGGGTTCCAATCCTTCTGGTAGGCGACTTCAACGTAAATTTTGGGAAAATCGGCGAAAAGTACAGGTCACTCAATGACCTATTGGTCTCGTTTAATTTACAAGAAATAGTACACACATACACCCGAGTAAGTAAGCACTCCAGTACGATATTGGATAACGTATGTACTAATGCATCCATTACATTAGAAACTAATGTTCAGGACACTTACCTCTCTGATCACCGACTTATAAGAATTTCATGTAACTTACAACAGTCTTCGCCCTCAAGAGCCAACATCATTTCAAAAAGATTCTTTTCGAAAAGTAACATGGAACGTTTTTTTTCATATTTGGAAAATGAAACGTGGAACGATATCTACTCCACGGATGACATAAATGAAAAGTTCTCAGTTTTCCTTTCCACATTTCAATTTTACGTCAATATATGTTTTCCTCTAAAAAATTATCGATATAACTCCGAAACTAAACCCTGGTGCACAGAAGCAACTCGTGGCTCTAGTACTAAGCTCAATGACATGTATGTCTTACAAAGAAAATACCCCGAACTAAGAGATAAATACATATCTATGAAGAAAGCACACCAAAACTTGATAAACAATGCTAAAAGAAATCATTACAGCTCAATCATACAGAACGCGCAAAACAAGAGCAAAGAAACCTGGAAGGTTTTGAACTCGATTAGTAACAAAAACAACCAAATTCCAAAAAACCTGGAACTAAAGGATGACCAAGGATCTGTGGTTACATCACCTGCAAAGTTTGCCAATTTGTTCAATAAACACTTTCATAACATACCGTTCAAGCTTCGGGAATCTATTCCACACGCAGATTTACCTACAAACCATCTTAAGATAAATCCTAATTCCATCTATTTATTGCCATTTACGGAAGAAGAGGTTCTAAACCTATTCAAGAAGCTGAATAGCAATAGCGCACCTGGACTTGGTGATATATCCCCTAACTTATTAAAACATGTGAAACTCCTAATAATCACCGAACTTACGTATTTAATTAACTGTTCTTTACGCACTGGAACATTTCCAAATTGCTTCAAGGCTGCAGTGGTGACTCCTATTTTCTAAAAAGGAGATGCTCTCAACACGTCGAATTACCGACCGATTACACTGACGTCCTGCGTAGGAAAAGTGCTAGAATATGCGATGAAAGAGAGGATAACTTCATTTCTCTCAAAGTATGATATAATATCAAAGAGGCAACACGGTTTTCGTGAGAAGCAGTCGACCACGACCGCTACTACTGAAATATATGAGAGTATTCTTCTCACTCTTGAAAGAAGACTTCGAATGGTAGGAGTTTTCTGTGACCTAAGCAAAGCCTTCGATTGTGTCGACCACAATATTCTAATACAGAAATTGGAGTGGATGGGAATAAGAGGTGTCGCCCTTAAATGGTTCACATCATATTTGTCGAAGAGAACCCAGGTAGTCCGTATTTCAACTTGGTCAAATAAATTCAAGCAGCAAGTGCGATCAGAAAGCTTACCAATTGCAATTGGTGTTCCACAAGGGGCAGTTTTATCCCCTACTTTATTTAACGTTTATATAAACGATTTGGTAACTTATTTATCTAAGTACGCTGAAGTAACCATGTATGCAGATGACATCACCCTAATGGTTAGTAGCACCCGTAACGGCATAGAAAGGGACACCGATTTAGCTGTAAATCACGTCTACAAATGGCTTATTGCTAACAAGTTGTTCCTAAATAAAGATAAAACAAGATACACACTGTTTAGCATGTCTTCGGTTCAAAATAAAAATGCGGAAGTTGGAATCTCCATATCAAACTGTCCCATTCAAAATACAGAATCCTTGCAAATACTTGGAATGCTGTTCACCGAAAATTTAAAGTGGAAGACGCTCATCTTGTCGCTTAACTCCAAACTTTCAAAAGCAATATTCAAAATTAGACAACTTAGAACTTTTTTAAATCCAGAAACCTTAATGTGTCTTTACTATGCTGAAATTGAATCCAGACTAAGATATGGCATCATCATCTGGGGTAGCAGTGGACAGGTTCAAAGCACCCTGATTCTACAAAAACGCGCCATCCGATCCATCGCCAGAGTTTCACTGACAACTAGCTGTAGACCGCTATTCATTCAAATGAATATATTAACCGTCATATCTTTATATATCCTTGAAGCCGCAAGTTATGTACACAAGTTTAAATTTAAGTTGATCGACAAATACAACACAGTACACTCACACAACACAAGGTCCAATCACATCAAAATTCCACATCATAGATTAAACGTCACAGCCAACAGTCCTCTCTGCATGCCTATCAAAATATACAATCATCTTCCGAATACACAGAAACACCTACCCTATCATCTCTTTAAAAAAGCATTAAGAAAATATCTCGTTAATAAACCATACTATAATATACACGAATTTTTCATAGAGAATCTGAGTTGAGTTTATATTTAATGTCTAGAAGTTATATTTGTGTTACTGTTTAAGACATGATGTATTTTTTTTTAAGACGAATGTGTGTAATTTATTAGAATTACTTTTACACAATAAACACTATTATTATTATTATTATTATTACTAGAACATTCAATGTTACTGAAGTCGTTTTTGGAGTTTTTAGTTTTTTGAGCTTTTTCTTCAATAGGGACTATAATTTTTTTATTTCATCAGAAAGTATAGACAAAAACGAAGGAAATGACACTAAATAGAACTCCCTACGATAGATCTCTGAAGGACAATTTCCGTTTGCTTTTGCCGAAAAAAAAAACGAATATTTCGGAAACCTCTTAATTTTTTATATTGAAAAAATATTTCAACCAAGGCTCGTTAAAAGAAAATCATGTTTGCGGAAATGAAGAGTGAAAAACAAAAAACACGGTTTTCCGCGATTTTCCAGGTATTTTGAGGTTATGTGAGAAAGTGACTGGAAAGAAAGTTGTAGAGTTTTTCGCGACCTACAAATTTACCATTGAACACTTTTGTCTCTGATCTAAATTTTTGCCCAAAATTGCCGTTATACGATTTTCACCCTCCTCAAAAACTTAGTCCCACTCCCCTGCTCCCGTATTTATTTTTTTTTTGTATTTGTTGGAGACCATTTTAACATATCCACTTGACAAAGCTCCATTAACAATTTTCTTTTGTAAAAAGTGTTATTTGCTTGAATTATAATTTAATTAATAATAAATAAATAAATAAAAAAAAAATTGAATAGGACTGGGGAATATTTTATTCTATAAGAAACAAAAGAGTTGGAAGTAGCAAAGGAGTACTTTTTGTAATTTTTAGTAATGAGACAGTTTCCCTATGGGTCTGGTACCCGGTTCCAGTTAAACTGATTTGTGATTTAATGGGAATTTAAGTGGAAAATAACTGATACATGAAATACGGCACTAATGAGCTTAAGTATATTCGAACGCTACAAATTGGTTTATGAATCGAAAACGTACCATCAGTGCTCGTAAACAATTGCGCCTAATCCATCGAAAACGGTATTTACGTTCCTATCTATTCTGATAATAATTTACTAAAATGGGAGAGGCGCATCTGAGTATATACAAATTTCAATTAATATATTGCTATATTTCTCGTTAATTTATCTTGATAAGTACTAAGATTTCCATAAACGATGATAACAACATGCTAGAATTACAAGTCGCCTCGTTTAACTTAACTTACCTTAAACTGTCTCAATAATGGAAAGCATCAATTTCAAAATAAACTCAGAAGCCACACAGACATTTCGGCAACATAAAAAAGCAGCAGTTGAAAGTCGAATTTTACCTCTAGGTAGAGAAAGAAAGAAAGGGAGAAAGAAAGAAAGGAAGCGAGAGAGAGAGAGAGAGAGACGCTCTATATATCTTTTAATATGTAAAACACCAAGACATGAAGAAATAATTAAAAGACAATTTGATTAGGTATATTTTATAGAGCATATACGTAAAGACATATAAAACTTGAAATGGCACGCAATTAAATTATTGTAAATACCTGACATTAAAATATTAATTACTAACATATCATCTACCAAATTTTGGATACTTTTCGACAATCTATTCAGAAAATTATAAGCTCTAACTTTATTAATTAATAAGTTAATTAATTACATATAACGTTCCGCACCGAACGTGAGAACCAACTGAGCTTTAAATATGACATTCTGTCAGTCACAAATCCTTATCTCCCAAATGTTCGGATCAGTTCACTCTATCTAGCCGGATGGTAATTTTGAGAGAAATTTAAACGGTACAGTTTTGTCATAAAAAAATGTTATCCGCTGTGCATGGCAACTTTGATTTCGAACCGCGTTTTTTTGTAGTTTATTGGCGCTTAATTCAGATGTGCTATCTCTGACATGCATCGCATATTTTACTATTTTACAAACGCCTATTTTCCAAATTTAGTACAAGAGGCGATAATTTCATTTCAAGTAAAAATAAGCGTGTTATACGCTTATTTCCGTTTCTTCATTCGCAGCATGGTAATTAATGAGCACTCGCAACGAATACGGTACAAAATGTGTTACGAGCATTTGTTTCTCTTCAGAAGAGACGGATGTGCCGTCAACTGTTGCGCTCCGGGAGACTAAAGAGGCAAAAGCTAAGCGTATTTTAAAGCTTACCTCAAATCCGCGCATTTCATATTTATTCATTTCCCAATGTTGACCCGTGGAAAAATTCGCTAATCTCGTGCTCACTTCGATACCCCCAAGAGTGTACCACCTTAAAAGCACCACCTTCAAAAAAATAACATTGAGGCTTGTCAGATCAATAAGTGCGCTTAATTTTGTTTCAGTTTATTCTATCAATTAGAAAGCACTTCTTTAGGCAGCATGAATTATGGATGAACCTAACAAACACCGGGCTTGCTGTTGTAATTGCCATTTCGGGATTTAGTGGTCACGCAGGCCTTCCGGCCACTTCGTACGAAGGTAAGAACCCATTCAATTATTTTGAGTAAATTATAAATTTCCTTGCCTTTAGATCTACCGGAATGGACGTTACACTGTGCCAGCGTTGCAGTTCTGCTATCTTGGTCGGAATTAATGCTATTAATTGGACGCTCGCCGTCCTACGGGTACTACGCTTTAATGTTTGCCGCCGTTCTTCAGAATATATTAAAGGTAAAACTCCAGTTCGTCGTTTTATTTTAAATCGAACTCAAATTTTAAGGTACTATTGACGTTTGTTTGCCTCGTAATCGGATTTGCGTTGAGTTTTTCAATTCAATTTTACGGTTTCGAGGAGTTTACTAATCCCTGGCATTCTGTAGTGAAAACAACGGTTATGATGATGGGGGAATTCGAGTATACGGATTTGTTTAAAGGCAGGGAGGAAGAGCAACAGTCACGTTTACGTTTAACTTCACGGATCGTCTTTATGTGCTTTATTATCCTGGCTAGTATAGTGCTGATGAACTTGATGGTAGGTGTCGCTGTCAGTGATATTCAGGGACTGCAGGAGGAAGGTCACGGCAGACGACTGGAAAAGCAAGCGGAGTTTATAAGGCAATTCGAGAAAGTCATTTCGGTCAAAGTAGTAGATTCGAAATGGTTCCCGAATATTATAAGGCGCTATTTGAGGAGAAGGGGATGCATTCATTTACAGTTAATGATTCAGCCTGAACTTACGGGTTACCGTTCTTTCGACGAAAAATCCACAAGAAAGCTCCCTTTGGAGTTAGTTGGTAAGATTGCGCTCTTATACTTCATTTCATGTAAATGATCATTTCGAAATATCAATATCACTAGCATGCATTTATAGTTATTTGTACAACTAGTTTTGAAAGTGATACTTTTTAATTTTATTTCTAAACGTTTTGCAGTTTTGTTGCAGCGGAAAAAACTCGAGACCAAAAGCATGATATCTTATGCTTTTGATCGAGAATTTTTGCCAGGAGGCAACAAAATTTGAGTGTATTAAGAAATTATGCTGATTTAAAACCAAGATCGAGTGTATTTGATGCAGATTAATTAAAGCCAGTAAATTTCACAACCACTATATGTTTTACGCATCCCTGCACGCATTTTTATCGCAGAAAAAAGCTTTTAATTGCTTAAAAAATCATCTGATTGGATAAAATTTGAAACAATCACCAAGCTGATTGGTCACATATTAATGGAGTGTAATCGTTAAAAAAATTCGGTAATTTGATAACCATACAAAAAAGTGATTTTCGAGTTTACATAGACCATAAAACGACTATAATATATACTCAGTGAGTTTTGGTCGCAATCATAAACATCATAAAAGATAAGTCTTGTTAAGAATTTTGTAAGATACGGAGAATTATTCACAAATTTTATCTCATGTCTTTTCTCTTTTCGTAGATAAGAGTTGCTTATTGCTAAAAATCAATTTAATTTGTAAACAGGTGTTATTGAGATAAGAACATTGTGCGCATTTTAGTAATAGAATTAGGAAGTGGTATGGAGATACGGAAATAGTTTAAGTAGAAGAGGTAGTGTTGTTACTGGGTCGGTTACGGGAGGTTGCCGTGATTAAAATGTGAGACGTTTTTCCGAAAATTTAATTGTAGTGTTGTTTCACAACAGGAAAGTTTGTGAAATAAAGAAGTCAATTTCCCTCAGAAGACGCGAGTTTAGTGCTTGTGAATTATGCATTATCGTATTGGACAATGCAGTGTAAGACCGGTTTTTGAATTATTGACAGTAGGTATCAATGTAATTTAAGACTTTTTTGAACCTATTTTGATCGATCTTTTTTTGTCGCTGGTACTGTCGCCTATTTTCATTCCAGCAACTATTACTTAATATTGTGTTGTGTTTAAATTAACAGGTTTGTATGAGTTTCGTATTAGAATGACTCCAGGTTACGATCTATGATTTTAAGAGGTTCATGCAAATTGGTTATTGTGTGAATTTATGGATCGCCTAGTGACCGCATGCCATTCACAAAAAGAAGTTGTCTACAACGAGGATGAAAGCCGAAGAAAAATGGGTCGCTGAGATCCCGAAGGCAATAAGTGAATCGAAGGCAGAATTACAGACGAAATTAAAATAAGATTCGCAGAGTGAAAAAATGGAGAGAATTGATGGAGGATTTGAAGGCAGAATTAAAGGCCATGAGCGAGCCTAATTGTTTTATTTTTGTAGTCCTATGTAAACAAATTTTATTTGATGGGAAGAGATAATTTAATCGCGGACGTTTTATCAAGAAAAGGAATAGGGGGGAATGAAATTGTGGATAACCGAATGGAAGAAAATAGAGGTTTGTTTTCGCTGGGAAGAATAAGAGAGAGCCAAGAACCGGAAGAATTACGAATTTTAAGACACAAAATACTGGAAAAATAAAGTTCATAAAATGAAAGTTTGATTAATTAAGGGTTTGTGAATAGGTCAGAAAATTGAAATAGTTTGTTTTCTGTTACAAAATCAAGAAGGGACCTGAGGAAACGTCAGTTTAATCCTTGTGACTGTGAGTTGTGCATTATCGGATTGGACGTTGCAGTGAAAGACCGGTTTTTGGATTATTGACATTATCAAGTCAATTTTAGACTTTTTTAAAACCTGTTTTGATCGAGCGCTTGCATACGTGGTTTTTTTTTATCGCTGGCATTGTCGTCTTTTTCCATTACAGCAATTATTACATACATTTGAGCTCTGTTTAAATGAACAGTTTCGTAGCAGTTTCGTATTAGAATAAATTCAAATTGCGACCTAGGCTTTTAGGAGTGTCATGCAAATTGATTATTGTGAGTGACTATTTTTGAGCTAGCTGGACAGGCATTTTGTGGGTGGCGTAGTGACCGTATGCCATTACACACAACAATATTACGTTAGATATAGGGGGTCAACAGTGGACAGGATTTCGCTCCTGGATTACCACTGCACTAAATCCCTAAAAATACTCATCTTAGATAAATATCATGAAAAAATAATGACTGCCACTAATTTTGATCGCCGGTTATTTCGTCGACAGTCATTAACAATGCTGGGTTGCGCTTGCGCAAAAATGGAAACTTGTTCGTCATTCTTTTTTTCTTCCCACGCGTTGAAACCTATTACCTACATAAAAAAACTACGGTATTCAACGAGATCCAAATGCTGATATTTCAAACCCTCAAATGCAAAGACACTAAAGTGTAATATGGCACGCTAGTGGCAAACCAAATTAGGGCAATATAGTTTGACGCCACTTGATTTGACACCAGCTGAGCATCTCAGAAAAAACGCACGGGGACATAGGGGCTTGGGCACAAACAAATAAAATAAGTAGTTAAATAATGCTGTGGACAGTTTTGACGAGAGCTGACGTGAGTATAGACATCCTGAAGTTCTGATAGGTCAATTTTCCATGGAAGTAAAGATATTCTCGGGAAATTTCCCTAGGGCTAATATTCCGGGAGCAAATACGTCGGGGAGAAGTTTCCTTGGGGACGAATATTCCGGTGGAGAGTTTTCTTGGAGCAATCTTCCACGCGCAACTCGAATTTTTCGAGAGCGAATATTCACGGGGTATGATTTGATGAAGGCGGAGAGGAATTTTTCGAGGAGAATCATTCTAAGGGTAAGTTCTGTGGTGAACATTCGGTGGAGCTGTGCGAATTTATCGGGCAGCGTATTGCTGGGCGAATGTGAAAGAGCTCCCAAGCAGCACCCTCAACCTTGACCTCTTATTATGAGATTGGTTATATTTCTTATATATATATTTCTTATATTTGTCGGAGGAGGTATTCACTTCACAAAGGGCGATTGGAACGTCTAACCGAGACATCTACTGATTTTGTGCACGATTTAGTCATATTTTTTTACAATAATTGGAATATTCATTACAACAAACCTAAATGTACTTAAATATAATCTTATTAACGAGCTCCTAGCGAGTTTATAATTTTGTGATGTCTGTCCGTCTGTCCGTCCGTTAGCACGATAACTCATAAACGAATGGACCGATTAGGATGAAATTTGCAAACTTTCTTATTAAATGAAATTTGATGCATAGCCACTTGGAATAAAAGCAAATGTAGCGCCATTTTCTAAATTTGGTTTTGCGCATGCGCAGTGCCAACTTTCTTATTTATGGAGGCATTTAAATAAAATTTGATACATAGCCACTTGGAATAAAAGAAAATTTAGCACCAGTTTTAAAATTTGGTTTTGCGCATGCGCAGTGCCAACTTTCTTATTTATGGAGGCGTTCAAATGAAATTTGATGCATTGCCACTTGGAATAAAAGTAAATCTAGCGCCATTTTCCAAATTTGGTTTTGTGCAGGATGTGCAGTACCAACTTTCTTATTTATGCAAGCAATTAAATGAAATTTCATACATGTACACTTTAAATAAACGCAAAACTAACATCAGGGTTAAAATTTGGTTTTGCACATACATAACCATATCCGGGAGCTCGTTTTCTATATTTGTTTAGTTTATTTACATACAAATTCTAACGTCTTTTTGTCATAATTGTTACGGTTCTTAAAAGTGCAACTTCGTTCATTACAATAATTGCATGATGGCTCCTTACAGTTTTAGGTTTTTTTATTTGGTATAACTTACAAGATATCTTCTTTTCAAGTGCGAATTTTTCGAAAGTCATTCCCCATATGCAATGGTTTGTCTGTTTGTCTTTTCCTCGTCCAACTCAAGAACGAAAGGACAAAGCGATGTCAAACCTTCACCAATCGATTCGAAATCCAGGATCAGTGCTATTGAATATTATGAGCCGGATTAGAAGTCGTGTTTCCGAATGCGAGCGTCGCTAAATGAGAATCGGCCTCTACACAACTCCTTTTAAAAAAAATCAAAGCCTTCTATTTTTTATGTACTTACCTATCATTGTTAGTCCCGTCAAATTTTGATTTCAAACTTTAACCTTTTTTAATTACGATCTTAAACCATTATAACCAGAACATTGAAAATTGGCGAAACTAGTCGTATTTTTTTCTGTTTTTGGTTTAAATCTTTTTGTGCTGAACAGCTGACATCTGGGGCGCTATTCTCGACACCGTTCGTTTTCGTACCATTCGAATTGAAAACGAAGGGTTTATTTACGAGTACTTTCATAAAATGGTATTCTTGACTGCTATTCGTTTATCAAAACGTATGCTTGGAATTTATGCGAACGAACGGCATGGCAACACTGTCATAATTTAATTTGACATTTCTTTGCGTGCGAACGAATTTTTTAAATTACAAATTATTTGAATTATTATGGAGAAACATAAAAAAACATGTACAAATTACTACTGAACAAAAGCAAATATTGGTTGAATTGATGAAAAGTAACAAAGAACTGCAAAGCGGCAAATTTTCTACCACATTTACATATAAAGATGCCCGAACCGAATGGGAAAAAATAGGACACACGTTAAATAGCATCCCCGGGGCAAAGCGGGACTGGAAGAGTTGGAGGAAGGTGGTAAATCATTATGCCATTTTATATTACTTATTCCATTTATTTGAAGACATGGCAAGATTTGAAATCTCGCGCTAAGTCAAAAGCAAGCGCAATTAAACGCCATGCAAGTGGAACAGGCGGAGGCCCTCAATGTGACGATAAATTAACACCAGTGGACGAAGGTATATTAGAATGTGTCAAAGCCGTTAGTGTTGAAGGCCACATTGAGGTATAAAGGAATCGACGGTTGAATTTACAGAAGTAGAGGAAAATGTTGATGACGTTCATGTTCATATGGAGGAATATGTAAATTCACCGGCAGGCGAAACGCCTAAAGAATTTTTATGTGATGAACAAGGACCATCTACATCTGTTACCGACTCAGCGACATCAACCTCAGCACGAAAAGTGCCCTTAAAAAAAAAGCAACTAAAAATGCGCAAACTTTAAAAGCAGTGTCAGATTTTAAAGCTACAATGGACACCAAGCTCAAAATGAAAGAATTATACTATCAAAAGAAATTATCGCTGCTAGAAAGATTGGTGGTATCTAAAGAGGATGGTGTTGCTGCTAAACAACGTATAGCTGCTGCTCTAGAAACAATAGCAGACAATTTATTTTAAATAAGTATTAGTTAATAGTTTTCAATTATTAAAACATTAGCTTAAAAGAAATCATTATTTAACAAAAAACGCCGATTATTTATTGTTGCAAATGTGTAATTAATTTATTTCTTTGGTTTCTGCCAGCAGCCAGTTCGGGATTTACTATCTTAACAACATGATTTCTTTCTGGGACATGCACGCCCAAATCAATTTGTTCGGCTTCCTCATTTTGTGGAGTTTCTATGTTATGCTCAATACACAAGTTATGCAGCAAAACACAGGCGTTTATAATTTTACTGGCTTTCTCGGGGGAGTAATGCAAAACCCTGTGTTTAAGAAGGCAGCGAAATCTCATTTTTAATACACCATTACATCTTTCGATTGTGCTCCGTATGGTTTTATGTCTAGAATTATAGAAGTGCTCAGGTATATTAGGTCGTGGTTCATATTCTAAAGGTGTTAACAGCCAACTTCTTAATGGGTAACCCGAATCGCCTAAGATTAAAAGTAATAAACCTTTATGTGTGATAGCATTCCTACCTACCTAACAAGAAATAATTTTTATTTCCGGCCTCGTGTAATCGTCTTAATAGGGTTTGCACATTGGATTGGTTCCAAATGAAAGCATCATTAGTACTGCCAGGAAATAAAGCATTCACATTAATAATCTTCAAATTATGGTCACATATCTAAACATTGGCCCGTATGAATAAAAGTAAGCAAATGCTTATACTTGCAAAATTCAAAGTAAATACTCGTAAGTGCTCCTTCGCACTGGGCGACTTAGCAGCGCTGCTAAGCAGAAGGACAGGACACAATGCAGCGCTGCTAAAGAAACCAATATGAAGGGGCACTTACGAGTATTTACTTTGAATTTTGCAAGTATAAGCATTTGCTTACTTTTATTCATACGGGCCATTGTTTCAATTAGATTTAGAAATATTGGTCACTTTTCTTATTACCAGTTGTACATTAATGGAATGATAATTCTTCCTATTCACATAAATATGTTCAGGATAATTATCATCATCCACTTTAGGGGGGAATATTGCAACATGTGTGCAATCTATACACCCAATTATTCCTGGGAAATTATACTTTTCAAAAAACCTAGAAAGCTATTTGTTTTTTCAACCGCACACTATTGATTCATGTATCTACCCCATTCTAGCAGCATTGAGTTCTTGTATATTTCTAGGGAAATGTACATAAGCGTTAAAAATTTCATTTCTGTTCATGGCATTGACAACTTCTTCAATACATCTTGATACTGAAGGTTGTGATATTCCAAAGTTATAATTTGATCCCACGTCCATTTGGTAGCTTCCACTTGCAAGAAATCTCAACGTTACTAAAACCTTAAAAAAATCGCTTCAACTAAGATTGTACCTATTGTAGTATATATCCTTGAAAATATTGATACTCAAATTACCTTCGTTGTTATGTCCAAATCAGTGGAACGATTTGCGGGGGCGATGTAATCTTTTAGAAGATGTACCAAAAATTGCGCTAATGCTTTAGATAAGCGAAAAACTTTTATGAAATACTCATCGCTAAGTTCATTAAATGGGTCCAACCGGCGTCTATGTACACGTCTATTTCTTACTTCTATGTCCTCTAACTCCTCTATCAACAATAATTGTACAATATCTTCCATTATCCAAATTTTCATTTCAACTGTCAAATTAAAACGTATACACTTTATTTGAAAGCGTCTACAGATTTCCGCTCGCTGTAAACCATTCGGTTTCAATTCGTATACGAACTGAATACGAGCGGTCGAGAATAGCTCTTTAGTCATTCGAATGGAAATGCGCATACGCATTTGAAAGTCACTTGTCGAGAATAGGGCTCCTGGGCAGATTTGTTTAGGTGACATTTTTTACTGTTATCTTACATTATCATTCATGGACGCCGTAAAAACATCATTTGTTGTTAGTTTCTCTACGGGAAAACGAATTTGGTGATTTGTAAATCTCTTACCTCCTCTGCGTTACCCTTTTAGGGTATTCACCCTTTTCACGTCCCAGGTTCCGCTTTCTTCCAAATCTAATTAAGGGGACACCACGTTGTCGTCTGTTCGACAATTAACTTGGCCCTTTTGCCTTAGTTCTAATTAACTAATATTTACATCCACGTGCAATACGTAGACGTATGCCGGCCGTTTTTGCAAACTTGAGAATGGGCCCAATTACGTTTACTAATGCGCTTACCTAGTTTTATTGCATCATTAGCTTAACCCTTTTAACTTACGCAAATGCGTCAGCCTTTAAAGCAATTTCGTGTAACGGTCTAATTAAAAAATGGTTTTTGCAGGCGAGATTTAACAGTGGCTATAAAGGTGGACACTTAAACCAAACAATAACGCTTAATTTTGAATTGTTATTTTTAAAATTATAGTTGCATTGGGCAAGGAAATTTTGAATTCTACCCTAAGCCGTTGCTAAATCAGCCGGGCTATTCAAAATTAAAATGCACGATCGACCCTTTTGTATTGAAATTCCGGCTATAAAACGTGAACCACATTTTCCCCTTTAAATTTGACGTCGACTACAACAAACCCTATAACCTTATTCGTATCGTAAATCGAATTGGAATGGCGAAAAAAATTGGAATTGATTTACGCATTTTATGTAAACCGATCGCGCTGCGTTGTTTTTACTAATTTCTGTTTGTACTTTTAGAATCGATTGTTAGTATGGCGACGAATAAGGACGAGAACGCCGATGTATTTCGAAATGTGAGACTGGAGGAAATAGTGGAGGCCCTAAAAGCAGTTTTGTGTAATAATAATAACCCAGAGAGAAGGATAACCAGATAACTGACGTAATAATAATCCCGACAGTTTTACGTGCGAGTATATAATGTGGAGAGATGCAGTAAAACGTATATCCAGACTGGTGGCGGCATCATTTTTAGAGAAGGGATCAATTACTCGCACTGTCTTATAAAAATTTAACAGTTATGACCAGTACGGCGTATAGTTGCAGGCGAAATTTGTAAGTGCATTGTTACGATGTAATGAAAATTATGCAAACCTGGTCCGGTAAAGTTATAGTTACACTATTCTCCAGGCTTGTATCACACCTTGCTTCCGTAACACGATCGAGTACCGCACATTTGTTAGCTCTCATGTTAAATTAGTTTAGTTGATATTATAGAATTTTTTAGTATGTAAATAATTTATTTGTAGCTCGAGGGAGAGAATTAAATGAAATTATATCAAATTCAATAGACCCTTAGTTATAATTTAATTGTCCAACAAATTGATATGGTTTACCGGCTATGTACTTAAGTCGGACCATATTCTTTTCTTTCCTTAAAAAGGGAAAACAAGATATAAAATTATAATTTAAGCATCTTTATATAACTTATTGTAAGTACGATACTTTCTGGTGGTCCTTAATAATGAAAAAGTAAAATCTCAACGCAACCCCTATTGGATAAATATGGCAAGCTGACTGGTCAAGTAAGCATGCAGATGTATAACTATTAATTACCCCTGTATATTTAATTTCGAATAAACCGACAGACACGATTCCATTCCAACAAAATATACATCCCGAAATTCAAATCTCCCGCACAAATTTAAATTTACCGCCACAAAATGGCGCAGCCAATCACAATGCGGTTCATGTGACGTCATAAAAAAGTGGACGGGATTGCAGATCCCTTTCCACTGATGGTTAAAGCGGAAAGCACTATGAAGAGAAAAGAAAATGTTCCCAAGACCCTCGACAAAAGTGAGAGAAATCGCGAATATGAATCTTGGAATCTGTCTCAAACACGCTAAATGACAAAGAAAAATGTCTTTAAATTGTAACAAATAAAACGTATAATTCTTGTAAGACATTTAAATACAAGACCATCGATAAGATCAAGGTTAGCCCTCTAAACTTCCTATTTTATCCATAATTTCCTTTACAGGTTTGTGGAGATCGTTAAAACCATAGATTTAAACACTAAATCTGTGGTCAATACCTTAGATGAGTTTTTTGCTTGATCATTTCAAACAAGGTAAGTGGTTGAATGAAGATTTTGACATCAAGGATTGATAAAAGTATGAATATGTCAGAATCAACAGTGCTTCAAAATGTGCACAACTACTCTCGCTCAATTTTAAAGAATGGGCACAGTTGATCTAATTTTTTAAAAAGTTCCCAAGACATCATACGTGCATTACATTGGTCCCCTAAACTTATAAGAACCGAATAATTAATTTGTGTTTGTTTTGTGCTAATTTTTGAGCTAACTTCCACGTTTTGTGCGTTAAAATTAACAATGATACGGAATTTCTAATTTGGTGATTACTGCTTATCTGGGAGCTAAGGACTGACGCAGCTGTTTTTGCAACAAGAGAGACTGCGATAAGATTATCCCTTATTATGAGCGAATTTCTTCAGCCTAAAGCGATTAAGAGGACAACGCTCTATAGAAATCAAATGACTCACAAAAAATGATTTATTCTCTCAATTACCTATGGATTTTTTTCCATTTCCCAACCATATAATTTATTTAAAAATTCAACTCTCTAATTTTGACGCTCCCATAGAATTCGAAAAAAAATTAATACCACATTGAGCTACCGTTCCATAGTATATCGAGTTATTGAAATATTGTGTTGAAGGAAGCTGTGTTTAAATGAGATTTTCGTCTGCTTGAAATGAGAATTGTACGTTATGTATTACCACTACATTGCGTGCTTGTGCAAGTTTGTTTGATAATTGAGTATAACCAATTACATGCTAGAAAGTGGTAAGGCCGAATTGAAAAACAAATATCCAAATTACTACGTTAATGTACATAAACGTACACACCAATTGCAGGCAACATTTCACTACTACTTTAATTAGTCTATTACATACAACCTGAGAGGAAAATTATAATTACTCTCTTCTATAAGCGCGCCTTCCGACATGCAAACTAAACATCAGAACTCTCTCTATACCTCAAAACGTCAACTTTTGAACCAAAGTTTGGTAAACGAAATTTACTTTCACGATATTAATTACCTATACATAAAGCCGCCCTTTCATATATAGAAATTAAAACTTTTGGTAACACTTTGTTTTTACACCCTAACCGACATATTTCAGTTTGTTACTCACGCTCATACATACAAATTACCAATTAGTTACCTTACTTAATTGCGCTTTTTAATTGAATTTCCCGGATTCTTCTACGCAATTACCAGTTCGACAATGGAGGAAGTTTAGTCTAATGGTCCCGTAAAAAGGTAAAACCCAGTAACTCATTTTTATGAACTTTTCAAGAGAGCAATTAATAGTACAATGTATTGACATAACGTTGACAAATTAAAGTTGACAATTGTAGTATGGGCATTATGGTGTTTTAGGTCGCTATGTTTGTGATTATTATATTGTTTTTATAATATATTTAGTATTTTGCAAAATATTGAACATACGATGTTTTTTAACAGGAATTATGATGCTTTTACTACACCAATATGTAGTATGTCAAGTTACGGTTTTATTAATATTGAAAATGTTGCACTATAAGCCATGAAAAATTTATAAGGTACTTTGCTAGCTATTTCCAATGGTATCATGCTTACTGGTGGTTTTAATTTCTGGTAAATATATGACTTTACTATGTTCTTACACTTTTTGGCGGGAAGCAAGACCATCGGTAGATTGCTTTGCTAGGTTCTTCCATTGAACGGCAGAAATCAAAATAACTTCAATTTAATTAAACGCTATTGAAATAACTAGTAAGAATGAATGCTGTGTTTTTCCATTTGGAGGTGAGGTTGTTTATTCAGTAAATGCCATAGTTTAAGTGAAATGATAGGTTCTTCCACTGCAAATCGGATTTACTATATTCTTGCTTTGAAAAGATATAAATTATGACACTTACTAGAAAATTCCATTGAATGTAGAATGCTTATTAGTTGGAAGTGATCTACAAAGTTTATACCTCTACAAAGGAAAAAAGTAGTACTTTCAGATCGTCTCAAAGTCTAATTTTAAGCAAAAATTGACTTACTAGGTTTTACCTTCGGACGGGAGAATGGTCCCCAAAACATTGGGACCTTTGTGAGACAATTGTGATAAAGTGCCGTCTTTGCAATGTCGATTAGGAGGGATCGAAATACAAATGTTGTCAGTGGGAAGGATAGAAATGAAATAAGAAGGGATTGTAATTTAATGACATCGTCCTAGTTTTTTGAATTTTGTATTTAAATATTCAAAAACTTAAAACAAAAAATGAATAAGAAATTGATTCATAAAGAAATACTATAAAAATGAGTTATATACAGGGTCGCAGGTATGGAACCCAAGCCGTCGCTCTCAAACTGAATTGAATTGAGATATAGGCATGAAAATTATAACGCTTCCATTTGAAATTATTTGGCATATTTTGAGGTTAACAATTTTTTTTTGACACGCTGGTTTTTTAGTGCGGCCGCTACTTTGAATTTTTTTTAAAGTGACAAAAATACAGTACATATGTCTTGTTTCCTTCCAACTAACGTATTACGTAAGAAATATATCTTGATTTTCTGAAATATGGACCATTTGACAGATTTTTTTCTATTATTTTATAATTTGACACCATTCATGATTAAGGTAGTCAGAAAGAGAAAAAATAAGCTTTATAATGACGTATCACATGACCTATGTTGCTATTAAAAACATTCAAGATGGCGGTCGCATTCAAAAAGGTTCCATCTTTAGTAGCTACCCTGTATATTACTTTTGACAAAATTGTCACCTAAAAGCGTTTGGATGTTTTTTTGCGCTATGGCGAAACCGTTTCCAATGGTGTGTTCAATATTTTTTGCCATCGTTCGCAAACAATTATTATTAAATTGCATCTCAATTTGTGTAGTCATTGATTGGAGTTGTGGACATGTCCCTAAAAATAAGAACCCATACCCATTGCACTATACTATTGGATTCATCAGTTTCATTCGGTAACGACATAATCGGAATTTCTGTTAGTTTCACAGAATCTACCTACCACTTATTTATTATACGCCGTCGTTTATGCAGAATAATTACCCTGCTCCATAACAAACCTACGCCGGCAGCTGTACACAAGTACCAAGTGCAATTTCTCGTCTACATCCACCGACCCATGTTCCCTTTAATATGCAAAACATGAACTAGATATCATGTAATCGATGTTCATTAGCAATCCGATTAATCAGTAGCTATCAGAATAGCAAATGCAATTTTGTCCTTACACTTAGGGAATTGATACGTGTTGGAGAATGTTGAGACCTTGTAAAATATAATTGCTATCCAAACACAAGCGTCTAATACCCGAACGTAATTCCAACGACACGAAGGAAATATTTCCAAAACCGTTACACGCATTAAAAGTTTCGTGCTGAACCGTAATTATAAAGCAGACGCCGCTTGTCTCTCCACCGATCGCTTATCTTAATTCTATCGCGCCAAATTAATTTTCTCCTGTTCATTAAGCATATAAATTTATCTATGAACTGTGACATTTAGCTATCACTTCGGATACACGTTTTAAGTATATTAAAACGTGACTACGTGACATATTACGTCCTCTTAATTACCGCCCAATGGTAGCTAATACTTAAAGGGCTGTCGCAGCAGAGTTTGAATATGTGATGGAACATACGGCACCAACATGAAGTTTTGGATGCTTTTCAGGGTACTTGAAATATATGTTATGCGTACTCTACTAATTTATTTACACCGAGTCTGATCTAATGAAACAAATGGCGTCACTTGAAACCTGCATGGATATTGTTACTGTTAGCAATGAGTAACCCTTCAACGGCGTCCATCTTTTCCAGAAGATTTTTCCATTCGTCTACGCCAAGAAATATATCGAAGGCTGCCTTGTATCGAATAAAAAGTCGCCTATACTCAGTATTACCACAAAGAACACCTCTACTATCACCTACAATCACATATAACCACAGGAGATCTTTCTAACCAGGAAATTTATGCACGATCATCTTCTAGAGAATATTAAGTCACTAAATGCGCGCGAATAAGAAAAAAGTATGGGAATATTATGTTGTTAGGAGAGAGAAGTCGCGTCCAACAGGCTTTGAGAATTGTTATTAAGCCGCGGGGTAATTGACGTAGAGCCGCGAGAGCTTTCGTAGTCTCCAATGAAGGGAGAAATTGTGTGTGACTAGTAGACATTTGAACCGTTACGGGTAAAGTAAATGCGTGAATCAAAGTTTA